GAACAGAAAATCAATGAGATCAAGAAGGGAGAAATAAAAACGTGCCTTCAACTTGTGATTAGGAGATCACAGGTGGCTGTAGAAAAAGAAATTTCAGTGGAGAGGGGAGGAGAGAATCCCAGTTGCAGGAAGAGGGGAGAGTAGATGCAAACAAATCTTCTAAGACATTTGGCTGAGCAGGACAGTGGGGAAACTGGTCATTATCCTGAGGGGATGACCACTACCGGAGATCCCCACGCCCACCAAGGACAATAGGAATCTGAAGAGGTGTTTTCATTCTTGGCTGCTGGAACATAGCCAGGAGACCAAGAAAGGATGAGGATCTCAACTAAAAGGAGAATAATTCATGAAACAATGTTCTGGCAAAAGTGGAATCAAAATAATGGAGGAAAGGGATCCTTTCCCTTTCCTTTTGTCTAGAAACTTGTACCGCCTCCCTTCCCAAGGCAGGCAGCCAAGGCAATATTTCATTAACCCAGCCTTCAGCTGTCCCTTCATACTATTTTTTTAACCATAGGGTTTTATATTCTTTCCTTCATTGTTCCCTTTCACCATGCCCTCCATGAACAAGGTGATGTTAATTATGCCTTTATGGTAATTACTTAGTTTGAGATCATATATCCAAATGCCCACAGGGCACTCTCACTGAGATGTACTTACTCATAAGCATGGGACAGCCGAATTTCAGGTTTGGGGAGCCCACGTGCAACCTGGTTGGTTTACTCAGTGATGAAGGAGTGAGTTAGAAGAGGATTATGGGTGGGTTCATGAGGTGCATTTGAAGCAAATATTAAGTCTCTGAAAGTAATTGGGTGAGTCCTGGCTAAGAAGAAGTAGAAATATTTTTGAATGCCAAGAATGGATTTTTTGAAAAAGCCTTAACAAACAATTTGAAATATTTTCTTTCCAAAGAAAGAAAATTTGCTTTCATTCCCATGGAAATAAACTATTTGGAAATGTTAATGGTGGTCTCCTGAATTTCCTTGTACCAATTCCCTTCCCAAGGCAGGCAGCCAAGGCAATATTTCGTAAACTTTAGTTACTTCCTCCCCTCCTACATGATTTTCGCCATCTCAGTGAAGAACCTGTATGCTTTCGTTGCTTTCTTTTTTTTCTCTTAATTCATTTATTTCATGAAAAATTATTTCAAAACGTAAACTTAACAACACAAAACTAAAAGGGAAGGTGCATCTCACTCTATTTTAAGTAGAAGGTAAGCATAAACTACATGAAATTTTTAAAAGACGGCTATTAATTTCTACCTAAATACTATTCTCAGTGAAAGTCTGAGTCTGTGCCCCTACTCTATGTTAAAAAGAGAGATAGTGAGTATACTTGGGTATGAACGTGGGTATCCTAGCAGAATATTTCTCTCTTTGGTCTAATCAGGAGTGATAGAGAGTTAAAAAGAGAATGACTTTATCACAATGTGACTCAACATCATTTAATTCATTGAGCCTGACTTCCTCCTAAAGCCACTCAGCATCACCTGTGATGCTTGTCTTACAATCTGGGAAAACTGGGGTAGGGGATTCTACATTCATTTCCTTGGGAAAAGGAAGATGCAGAGAAAATGCAGAGTGCATAATGGAGACGTGACTGGAGCTCAGGTTTGGTGCTGCAGAAGCAGGCCTTAAGAGCAGGTGTGCAGCTCAGAGCAAGGCTGCCCCACTCGCAGTGGCCAGAGTTACACACACAAGAGAAATGACATGGGGTCCTCGGGACTGGGAAGGGGGAGGTGAGAAATGTGTGGACACTGCATTCCCTGAGAAGTGGGCTCAGCACCTGGTGCTCCTGCCCACGTTGCGGGGAGGAAGGGCAGTGAGGGAAGCCCTGAAGCAGGTAAAAAATCCTAGAACAGAGGGAGCCTGGGGGTCCTTCCTCAGGTAGAGACCCCAGAATAGAAATGGCTCTGTTGTCACAAGGTCCCAGCATGCCTGGCTTCATTCTGGGTACAAATCTAGTCTGAGGGGATGTTTTCCATAACCAGTAGGGTTTATAGAAATGTTGGATTTCAATCCCTTCAGTCTGCACTTTCTGGGTGACTCTGACCTGTCCACAACCCATTTTTACCTGCTCCTACTTTCTCACACGTTGTCTCGGCCTTTCTCTCTCCCTGTCTGGAAGATTGCTGTGTTTGCATCCCATGACTAAGTGATCAGGCCTGAAAGATCCCTGGGTGATTCCTGGGGTCCCAGTGTGCCTGGGAAACAGGAAAACAACTCCTTCAGTCTCCAGAGATTAGATAAAACCCCAGGAAAAGGGAACAAATCAAAATTATGCTCCAGCCACCAAGCTGAATGCATACTTCAAATAAGAATGAAGTTTAGTTCTAGAAGAATTGAATGCTATTTCCATATAGTTTGGGGTAGGCTCAGTTAGCTACGAATATGAAAGTGAGTAGTCACAAATTACAGAGCAGATGTCAAAGACCTACTTTTAAATATTTGGCTGATTGAGACAGAACCAAAAGACAAAGCGGGTCCTGTACCCCAGCGCACCAGCGCTAGAGCAAGACCGGACAAAGGCTGTGTGGCCACTATGGGGTGGTTTTATGCAATTAAAAACTAATTCCTGAGAACCAGATGCTGATGGGGACATAGCCTGCCAGAAGTGTCTCCCTAAGTGAGTAGAGATTAGAAATAGGACCCAGCCAGCCAGCTGGGGGACACCCCCGTGAAGGAAGCTGTACCAACATCTGATCGTAAGCTATGAGCCCAGAATTCCAGTCTGTCTCATCCATCGTGGTATCACCAGTGTCTTGCACCTTCAGAGTAGTTAAACGTGTTCAATGTGTGTTTGACTTGGACAAAAAGAATAGCCAAATATAAGAAAAAATATAGACTACCTAGTGTACTAAAATGTGACGTTGTTCATCACAATTTTGGAGGGAAAACAAAAGTTCTATTTAAAGCCTAAAAGAAATACTGTTTCTCTTGAATATGACTTCCTCATGGAGATCTACCATAATTACCACCTTATTTGAAATTGTACTCCCCTCTCGCGTCTTGTCTCATTCCTAAGCCCCTTACCTTCATCGACTTCTTTTAAATTCATTTCTGCCTTTCGATTTTCTTACTTGTGTCTGTTCTCACTAAAATGTCATCTCTGCTTTGGGAGTGTATCAGTCCAGAGCGGCTGTGCAGACTAGCACGGACACCTCAGCAGCTTCCTACTCGGGGTTCCTTTCCCTGCAGGAATCGAACAAGACTTTGCTCATCAAAGTCACTCTGAGATCCAAGCTAGTGGGGGCTCAATCTTGACATATGCTACTGTGACTTTAGATACTATGGAGAAAAGGTCACATGAACCACTCCCTGAAGAGACTGAAGGAAAACGGATGGTTCGTCCTTAGGGAAGGATGGCCAACGTGGATGAGGAAGAACCGCAATCTACCCCACCGCAGGGCTCTGCTGTCTGTCCTGCACTCATGTCTCCCAAGCACACAGAACAACAACTAGCATGAGGCAGGTGCTCAGTAATTGGTTTGTTTTCCAATTTTCTTCCAAATTTCCAGTTTTTACAGCGATCAGTGCCAAAGCACACCGTGTTTCATGTCCTCTGGGGCAGCATGTGAGCTTGCTGTGGGAATGCTGCCATGGAAAAGCTATGATGGAAGAGGTTTCATTGTGTTGCAGAACATGCATCCCAAGCTTCATCCAGCCAGGGGGAGAAAAGAAACAGTCACTTCTTTCTGAAAACACAACATATTCTGATAATAGTTTCCATCTTATAAATGAACTAGAAGCCAATTTTTTTTTTTTCTTTTCTGGGCTTCTCCTCCCTGAAATTCCAAGGACTGCCTCTATGTGTTCAAGAATTCATTTCTAAGCACCAGTTGAAGGCTCTCAGTGAAGTGGACTGGTGGTGAACTCCCACATGGCTGACTCAGCAAGCCCAGCGCCGGCCTCCTCAATCACTTATAGCACTCTCAGGACCCTGACTGTGGGCTCTGGTGCCAGGACAGCCATGATGTCCTGTGTTTTCCTTAGACAGGGTCTGGCCAGCTAATGGGTCTTGCTGACAAGACCTCCCTGTTCTTTGACCACTGCTACAGAAGCTGACCATTCACTTAGTAGATCATGTTCCTTTCAAGTTCATGTTCAGTCAAGAGCACCCCACAGCAAGCGACAGGAATCAGTTCCACCATGTTTGGTGCTCACAGGTGACTTCAGCACACTTGCATACAGTATTTTCTCCGGGACATGCCCCAACACCACAAAGAGGTGGCTGAGAAAACCTGGGGTCTGGCACCAACAAGACAGAAGTGCAAAGATCCAGTTTCTACTTGCCTGAGATGGAAGTCCACATTCAGACTCCCCTTTCCCTTAGAGTGTCTTTCTTCTAGGGTTCTCAATTGTCCTTCTCTGTGATATGGCCTCAGTTAGAGCTATCCAGCCCTCAGACTTGTCCTGATAACTTTTAACCACAAGTGGATGACATCACTGTGAACATCACTCTGACCCTACAAGAGCTCATTGCTCCCAGGTATGTGAAAGAAAATAAGAACATTGGGCTGGAGGTCCACTTACCCTATGCCCTGATAGTTTATAAGCCTCAGGCTCCTGACAAATTTAACATCCTTAAATTGTCACAGCCAAAATGGACCACTCAGTTCAGTCTTTCCAGAACAAAAAGACTCTCCTCCTTAAAGTAAAATGCCAACCTATGAACCCGAAGGCAGAAACTGCTCAAGAAATTTTCAGTTTTCTAGCTTTAAAACTCTGAAGGTCCAGAGCATTACACTTAATTAACTTTATTAATTAGAGCATTTTTAGAATATTTTGACCTGGTCCTCTTTTTGCAAGTCATACCAATGATTTCTAATCTGTTGAGAGTCCCAAAATATGGCTTTTGAAAAGCTGTATGTTGAGACGACACAGACCAGGTAATAATTTGGAACACCTTTTTACAGACAGGCTGAGTGACATCAGAAAGTGCACTTAACTACCTGGGCTTTCGATTCCTTTCTTATCAAATAAAAGACGAAAATCGGGATATCTTTGAGGATCTGTCTCTCTCTTTTATTATATAATTCTAGCATTCATTAATCTGTGCTGGCGTGGACCTTGAAACGCATGGTCTGAGTGTTGCCATTCTTTTTTAGATGTTTGTTCATGATCTTGTGGGAAGTCTTCTTTGAGTATGGTATTTCAACTGAAGATGATGAGTCTTCCGCAAAGTAACTCTACAATTGCAAAGAAGAAAATGAAAACTCTTGTGATGATATTAGAAGACATGGAAAGACCATTTTCAGTGTCCTATAAGAAGATCTTCCAGTGATATTGGTAATTCAAAGGAATGGGAAAATTACTAGATATGCAATGTGCAGGCCATTTTTATATTACAACAGATAGCTCATCTTTTAATCGATCTGTTTTTGATGAGTTGTGGGCACCACTTGTAGTGACTACAATTGAATTCCAAATGGAGAAGTCTAAGTTAATTAACTAAAGGCTTTGAAAATGTCCGAAAACTATTATTTTCTGGTAATTGTCCCTTGCCAAAAAGAAATACAGAAAAAAATTAGATGTTGAAACTATTGATAAAGTGTGTGCCATTGAATTTTCTCATTAGTGCCTGCATTCCTTTTGAGAAGAAGGAGGGTGGGTGGTCCATTGTTTCCCTCTCTTTTGCCATGAGAAAGAGGTTCATCTATTTTAAAGACTGGATTTAAGGTTTGGTGTATTTAATTCAATTATTGTCAGATATTTGGGGAATACTTTACTTTTATTTAATTTCCCAGGATATAATCATTTATATACAGTTGTAAAAATCCAGGCTTTGATCTATTTCTCATAAGTATTTAAATATGATACAGCTCACAAAGTGAGTTGCCCAAAATTTACACAGCAAAATTATTTATGTGATATGATAATTAAAACAACAGAATTCACAGCAGAGTATAGCAGTCCTAGTTTCCAATAATTAGAGTTAAATTACTAAAAAGGAGCAAATAAATTGAAATAAATTTTAAGCATTTTCAAATTTTAAATATTTTTAATATTTTAAAAAATTAGCCCTTTAATTTGTTTTCCATGTTAATTAAACAGAAAGTGTTTAATTTATATAAACAAAATACAGATGTCCATTAAGAAAATAATGCAGTTTGAAGAGAAAAGTAAATCATATTTTTATATAGTTTTAATAATATTTTAAACAACTTTATGTCTGTTTTATATTTGTTTATTTTATTTGGTTAAATTTAAAAATAAGCACAGTGACAGCAGCTAAATAAATTGTAGATTTTATATTAAAGATTATGGGCTTAAAACATATATTTATATATTTCTCAAAACCTCCAAAATAACAAGAAATATATATTTTAAACCATTAATCTATAAAAACAGAAAGAACCTAGTTTTGAAACCTGGAACACAAGTTTATAAGTTGCAACTGAAATGGCAGAGCCAGGAAGGAAAATAAAAACTGGCCTTGGGAAAAGCTAAAAAGTCATCTAACTTACACTGTAAATGAATACGCCCCACCCCATAAAAACACACAAATTAGTGGGCTCAAGTGCCTTGGGAGTTAAAAGTGAATTTCAGAGATAAAAGTTGAATTTTTTGGAAATGCTCTTAAGAACTTGTTCAAAACCTTTTCCAAATCCCACACAACTAAGAAACCACCGCGTATGGGTGACAGCAAAACAGAGTGTCTCTGGGACGGCTGGAGACAGAAGTGTCACACTGCAAGAAGGACAGCTCATGAATGTTCACATTTGGAATGCCGACCATTTTAAATGATGACAACAATCCTTTTTGTCTTCTTCCTCTCAGATCCCAGAATGTTAAGAGCCAGAACACTAATTTTCTGACAGTAAGTCAAAAGACTCATATCAGAAATTATGACCAGCCCAAGAAGAAAGTCTGGGGGTATCAACTCCTGGTATAACAGCATTAAGGAGCCACAATGACTAACTCCCTAGTGAAGCTGGTAAAAAGCGTACAACACATGCACACACACACACGCACACAACCACTTAATGCCTCTAGAAGTGGTCCTAAGGGCAAATATCTACTCAAGAATGTTTGTGAGATTTTGGTAAAAAAAGATAAGAGACTGTGATATGTGAACAAAGACAGCTTCATTGCTCCTCACTCCCAGCCCCACAAGGCAGAGACTCCACTCCAGAATGCTAGACCCAAAGATACAGGGTTGTCTGCCCTCCCAGTACTCACATGAAGGGTTTTCTTCCTAGGAAGAGCAGGACAGTAGCATCTCTTATCCTGTCCCCACATCCTGTTGTTGAGTCTAAGTCCTGGGAAAGTTTAGTCTTTTCTTTCACACAGTTTCTACTTACGGAATGGAAGCCCTCCCTTGGCCATCAAATACTACAACTACAGGGATCCTGATCACTCTTACCCAAGTTCATCTTGTAATGTACCCACGCCAAGAGAGGCAAGCCAAGAGTACTCCCAGGCTCCTGCATTTAGTTTAAATGATAGCTATTTAATTTAGATACCTGTGATGTACTGAGAGTAAACAAAACAATAAAAATTCTCAAACTCCACCAAATGTCCAATTATATTAATCCAAATTCCACACACTGAAAAAGAAGAAAAAGAGCACCCGTTTTTAAATACAAAGTATATTTATCTGTTTCTACACAGGAATGTTCACCTTCTAAAAGCAGTAACAATAAAATGAGTCATTAAAATGTTAAAAGGCAAACAAATGAACAAAAAAGTCCAAAAGACAAAGCAATCAACAAAGCCAGCCTCAAATAATACAATCATGTTGGAACTATTTGATAGGTACTTTAAAATAACCATAATTAATGTCTTACAGTCTCTAGTGGAAAAGGTGAATAAAATGCAAGATCAGATGAAAAATTTCAGCAGAGATATGAATATTATTAAAAGAAACTGAATGGAAATGTTGGAGAGAAAAACAGTAACATAAAGGAAGAATATCTTTGATAAGATCATAAGTAGACTGTAATGTTATAATTTTTATAGTGTCTTAGGAACTGTAGCAGTATTTTGTCTTGAGGTCTCTCTCTTGAAGACAACCATGAGCCAAGACAGGCGCTCTCTTAAGAGAGCTCTGATGAGAGATTTAGGTTCAGAGTATGTGTCACGTGAGACACAATGAGAAAGTAAAATCAAAATGCATGAAGCAGACAAAATTTATTACTCATGGGTCTCAGAGAGGTAGGAGTACTGACAGGAGGCCAATAGAAAGACTGAGGCTGGCAGACAGCTCAGCCAGTGAGTGAGGAGAGAGAAAATGAGAGAGAGTCAGAGAGAGAGAGGACCTATGGGACTGTGGCTATATTAAGGTCCATGGGTGTTTTCTCTTAGGCTTTCCAGCAAGAGTTGTGAATTGGGTAGTTTAAAGAAAACATTAATGAAGGAGGAAACTAATTTACATAACCCTGGTGTTGAGCATTATGTTTGATCATGGTCAGCAGCTTTGGGGTGTGTTGGGTTTTGTGTCGGTGAGATAAAGAACAAGTAAACAAAGGGAGGGAAGTTTAAACTAGGCCAAAGGTGATGGGGTATGACTGCTTTTCAAGTAACATACATCAGGCCTCAAAATGGATGCTAAGGCAACAACTATGTTAAATAAATTTATGACATCAGTAAAAACGAGAAAAAATAGCCAGTGAACTTGAAATAGATCAATACAATTACCCAAACTCAATTTTAAAGGTTAGAAAGGATAGAAAAAAGTACATAGCATATAAAAATTGCGAGACAATATGGAATGACTCAATAAACGGTTAACTGAAATCTTAAAATAGAACAGATAGATGATCGATAGATGGATGGATAGACAGTCTACACACTATATATGAAGTAGTAAAATATAATTTGAAGATAGAATTTTATTAGTTAAAAAAGTATGTTAACCACCTCAAGGAAACCAGGAAATATATTTTAATAAGGTATAAAAATTAAGTTCTTATAGAAGAAAAACGTAATTATAAATAATTGAAAAAGACAGAAATATAAAAATAAAACAAAGAACATAGAAAATAGAAAACAGTAAGCAAACTAATATATCTCAATACAAATCTATCTATCTATCTATCTATCTATCTATCTATCTATCTATCTATCTATCTGAAAGCACCTAGATTAATGGCAGGCATCAATCTATAGAACCATGAATACCAGAGAACACAAAATAAGATAAACACCAAATAAAAAAAAAACGAACAAATAAATGAACAAAATAATATCCCACCTAGGTACGATACATTCAGAAATATTATATTTTGTGAATATTTTGTTTCTGAAAATAAAGCACAAAGAAAAATTTCTGAAGGCAAAAATGACAAAAGAGACATATTATATAAAGAGGAACAAACAAATCATAGCATACTCCTTAAAAGAAACCATGAAGGCCGGGCGCAGTAGCTCACGCCTGTAATTCCAGCACTTTGGGAGGCCGAGGCGGGCGGATCACGAGGTCAGGAGATCGAGACCACCCTGTCTAACACGGTGAAATCCCGTCTCTACTAAAAATACAAAAAACTAGCCGGGCGAGGTGGCGGCACCTGTAGTCCCAGCTACTCGGAGGCTGAGGCGGGAGAATGGCGTGAACCCGGGAGGCGGAGCTTGCAGTGAGCTGAGATCTGGCCACTGCACTCCAGCCTGGGCGACAGCGCGAGACTCCGTCTCAAAAAAAAAAAAAAAAAAAAAAAAAAAAATTGAAACCATGAAATCCAGAAAGTAATTGAGTGATAATTTGCAAGTAGTAAAAGAAAAACAAGTCAACATATAATTCTATACTCAGCAAAAATGTTCCTCAACAATAAAGGAAAATGAAGACTTTCTCAGAATTCAGAAATCGAGATAATGAATTTCCCGCCGATGTACACTGCTAATATATTAAAAGAATGTTTTCAAGAAACGCTATAATACCAGAGTGAACTTTGGATTTATGCAAAGTAATAAAAAGTCATGAAAATGTAATAAACAGAGGTTAATTTTTTGTTATTTTATTATTTTAATGTTTTTCCTACTTTCATTTGTTCTAAAAGGTATTTCGCTATCCAAACTAAATACATAGCTATCATTATGTATTGTGTATTTAAAGCAGATTTAAAACTAAAATATAAGACAATCATAACACAAAAGATGAGAGAAAACTATACAATGAGGCAAGGTCCACACACTAAATATAAAATAGTAAAATACGATTTGAAGGTATAATTTAATTAGTTAAAAATATGTA